AGGGCTTACGGCACCTCTCATGGATAAGCAAGGATCCACTACATTGACAGTAATTTGCCCTATTGTCAGGGCCCGTTAAATTTAAGAGAGCTTACCCTATCTCTTGTGGATAAAGCTGGTATCCACTAAATTGATAAAGATATATCTTAATAGTAGGGTAAGAATTAGAAATTTATATTTAGTAAGAAAAAAAAGGTGTTATTAAAGATATGTGTAATGTATTTAAATAAATTGATTTATTATATTTGCTTTAAGCTACAATTTATTATAATAGATAAAAATAGAAAAACATATAAATATATTTTATTACATGAAATAAATCACTTTATATTATTGTTCTGAATACATTTCAATATGTAAATAAGAAATAAATAAGTAATAATGATATAGGTAATAGAAGTGTAGACTAAAAAAAAAAATTGGTAATTTGGAAAAAAAATTTGGATTAAATAAAGAAAAATTAAGATTTAGTAATTGTTAGGTAAAAGAAAAAGAAAGCAGATGTTTTGATAATTGTTAGAAGAAAAGGGAAAAAGCAGTCAATTTAGTTTAAGGTTAAAAAATAACATGATGAATGTAATGTTATTAAGATTAAGGTTAATTAGTTGTAAGATAATTAAAAAATAAGACTAAAAAAGGGAGCGAAAAAAAGAAGGTATAAATTATTATATTATAAAAATTAAATTAAAGGAATTGATAAGGTTTTGAGAAATAGTGGTTAATAGGTAATAGAGATAGGAAGAAAAGAATGAGATAATAAATTTAGTGATTAATGAATTCATTAAGGGAGGGGAAAAAAATAAAGATAGAGTTATTTATAGGGATTGGAGATTAGAAATAGGTTAGGATAATGATATTTAAATATTTGAATATAATAATTGGTTTTCTTCTTAATTTGGTTTATGAAAGGATAATATATATATATATAAATTTGTCATATAAGATCTGACAAAAATTGTGAGTATGATTCAAAATTAATATACAAGTTGAGTATCTTGTAGAGAAAAATTTCATTAATGTGTAAGTGGTAATATGAGATGAAGATTGATAAGAGAATCTATAAATAAAAAAAAGATTAAATGAAATAAAAAAATAGCCTGAATCTTGAGAAATGAAGAGATATTGAATCTTGGATTATGTTTTTCATTCATGTCATTTATTTCACTCATATTCTGGATGTTGAGGAATATTATTTAAAACGATTCAACATCAGCCATTTTCTTCCGCAGACAAAAAAATCGAATTTCCTAATTTTCACTACAAAGATTTTTTAAATTTGTGCTAGTCTTTTTATTAACACATCACCTGTCAGATTGGCAGGTCATCAAATAGGAATGACACATGTTAGATTTATTAAAGCAATTTATTAAATATTCCGAATAATTCGTTTTATTCGAATCGAATAAATGATTATTCGTATTCGGATAAAAAAAATAATTTATTATTCGAATCGATTTTTTTTGAATAGGCCTAATACCAGGTATCAAAAATTAATGGTTAAAGACTAATATTATCGCTCCCGAAGTGTCAAACAAATTTTTAATATGCTATTTAATAAATTGGCCAAACAGGCATTGCAAAATTTAATTTGACCAGATTAATAAAAAATATAAATATCCTATATTGAAAAAAAGATATATGTCCAGACATTGCCTGTTTAATAATATGCATACTACACTAGCATAATGTTGGATAACAGCAAATATACTTGTTCTCAACATTTTCTAGTATACTAAAACTATTATTTAAAGCGTGAAGTTTACATAGAAAAGATAAAAATTTCCATTTGCAAAACCATACAAAATATTACGACTTATTAATGAGCAGAATTTGTTTTGAGTAAAATACTCGTTAACTAAATTATAAAAATAATTTGCTAAATTTTTAATTTTTAGCAACTTGTTTTCAATTGAAATCAATAAGAGATTAGAGCGCGTCTGAAATAATTTTTTTATTATTTTTAAATATGAAAATCCCTACTCTTCACTTGCGGTAGTTTGAGTTAATGTTAGGTTGAAAAGTTTTGATTATTTTTCCAAATTTCTCGAGTTAAAAGATAACACGAATAATCAACGACACAATTCCAATTATTATACATTTTAAATTAATTATTTTTAAAAAAGGAAATTTTTTATTTAAAAAATAAATTTTTTCTTTTCTATTTATTTGCCTCTCCAACCTTAATTTTAAACCTACAATAAAAGAATGATTCGCATTATTTTTTCTTTATTTATTAAAAAAAAGTATTTTTAAATTTGATCCCCAATGTTTATTTTTTTAACGTAATAAAAAGAATAAAGTAAATATATAATATGAGCATAATTTTTTCCTTTTATTTAAATAAGCAATTTTAAATTTGCTTCTCGATTTTTTTTTTAACGTAATAAAGATAATATTTAATTTTATATAATGATCTAAGGTTCGGTTTTTCCTTATAAAAAATGAATTGAGAATTCAATGGAATTACAAAATTCACTATAAGTAAAGGAGAAGATGAGATACGATTGACAAATGTAATTTATTATATATGTTCTAGATGGTCAACACTAATTTCAATTTATTCATAATACTAACATCCTGCATTTACTTATTTAGCATAAGCATTTGAAATCAGCCCTTGCTATAAGTAATTAAATATATGTAAGATTATCGGGCATAATCTTACATTTTCCCCATCTCAGCCTAAAGACGTTTTAAATGACAGTTCTTCGGACTGTTGTGTATGAGTACGGCTTGCCAACAAACGTATAAAGGGCTTCTCGGCGATGCGTTTTATCACGTAAAAATATTTAATTTTTTTAAGGTAGTAAAATAATAACGTCGTAAAAATTGTATATTCATTTTTTTAGATAGTATAAAGATTATATTTTTTTTTAAGATAGTATAAAGATTGTATTAATTTTATTTAAGAATAATTACAAGGGAAGCAATGCTTTGCTTCTATGCACGCTTAATCACTTAAGTCATTTTTAAAAGATTTTTATAATGAAATCAATCCAGTATGATATTGTGTAAGCGTATTACCTTCGTTTTTTTAATAAAAATTACTTCACATTATGTGCTCTCTTAATTATAATAGGGAAATCTATCTGCCTCATTTCGATGGCCTTATGTGTGGCTAAGGTTAGTCTAATTTTTGAATCAGTTAAGGTTATTTTTGATGGAAAATTCAAGTATAGCTTCTAATCATCTAATATATAATATCCGTAATTTATAGATAGATTTCTTATCTTTCTTAATGTAAATTTTAAGTTAGCTTCGATTAAATTTTTTATATAATTTTATGGTAGGCCTTTAAAGTGGCATGATAAATATTGTTTAAAATCTTAAATTCCAAAAATCTTAAATGACCATAAAATCAAATCGGTATTTTTTTTCTCACAAATATTTGTTGATGAATATTTATAGGCCTAATAAAGAAATATGCAAATTTTTAAAGGGTCAAGCGCAAAAACAGAAGATATAGGATTTTAACTATTAGGCAATTGCAGTTTTATTTAATATTTAAAATAAAATCTGAAAAAGTTTTTGGACGGAAGCGAGGGCTTTGATTAATTCAATTGATGAATTGCAATTTCTCTCCTAATAAAAATAACTAAAAAATATAAATCATGGAAAATAAATGAAATATAAGATAAAGAAACTAAGTGTGGCATTATCGTATACGATTCAGAGTTTTCTGGCTTATATCTAGAATATTATAAGTATTCATTGTTTGATGAAGAGGAAATGAGATATTTGAAATTGAAAACTGTATGTTAGAATGCATTATGGCAAGATATATTTATATGGTTTGTGTAAATAATATTTCCTACACAAAGCTAAATTTAAGAATAAGAGACAAGTATCCCTTATAAATTTGAATATGTTATTTAAGAACAATATAAAAACTTGTATAACTCAAGAATTTTGATTATAATAAATGAAATAATTGTTTTACCTACAAAAATTTTTAAATTAAAATTGGAATCTCTCAGCTCAGATAATATATCGTTGATGTTTGAACTGAAAATATTTCTTCCAGATATAAACCAGAAAATTCTGAATCGTAGGCGTTTATGTCACATTTCGATATTATATTTTCTATTTCATTTATTTTCCCCTTCACGAATGATAATAAATCAGAATTTTATCCTTTATTTGATGATGGTCTTTATGTACCAATTATTTTTTCGTATTGAAGGTACTAATATACTGTTAACATATTACATAATCGAAAATTAAGAAATCATATAGCATCAAAATAAAAGTATATTTCTGATTCATCCATCAAGGAGAAATATCCGAGTAGCCCGCCATTCTTGGAGGGTTAGCTGCAGGAGAAATATCCGATTCGCTCCGCCATTTTTGAAGGGATAGCTACTAGCATAAATAGATGTCTAGTAAAATCAGAATAAATAAATATAAAGTATTTTTCTTAGATTATACAAAAAAATGTCGATATATAAAATTCGTTAAAAAAATATCAGTAATTTTGGGGAGGAGTTATAATTCATCGTCTTTATTGTATTACAATATAATTACATTCTACTGTTTTTTATAGGGTCTAGAAGTTTAAAAATGTTTTAAGGGAAAACATTATAAATGATAAAACGGGTTAACGTGGGAAAACTTTGATAAATAAGAATTCTTAGTTATAATTATTTTTATATACAAGGTCACTGTCATTTTTTTTTAAATTCATAATTATTTTAAATAAAAAAATTATAATATACTATATATACATGAGCTTATAAAAAATGATCCTATTTTGATTATTTTGATAAATAAAATTAATAAAAATAGATATTCGTTTTAAAAAATAATAAATATCTTTAAAAAAATGTCTGACAATGAATGCAGTGGGTTAATATATAAATTACAAAATCCACTATGTTATATATAATTTAGCTAAAAATGCCAATAAAAAAATGTTGTGATAAATGGAGTATAAAAAATATCGCCATAATCATTTAAAAAAAACACATGATTAAGGTTCTCTAATTATTAAAAATAATTTTATATGAAAACCAGGGTATAAATAAAATTGTTGATAAAAAAAGAGATATTGTTTGCATAGATAATATAAACAGTTTTATTATTTTAAAAAAGGACGTAAAAATGATATAAAGGGAACAAGATATATAATATATATTGGTCGAGCTAAATAATTATAAAATAAAGCACCATTGAAACAATATTTAGTATAAGATAATTACTAAATAATAATTTTCATATATATAATTATTGCCGGAGAAAAATAAACAGGTGGCAGCTTTGTACAAAATATTTAAGAAACACTTCCTCTTTAAATTCTCAGAGGGGAAAAAAGGGTACATTCTATGTGACATTTATTTATATAAAATAAATTTATATTCTGTTTTATTTAACAAAATTTGTTTTTTCTACAGCCAAGTTAAAAGATCAACTTTACTATTATTGAGTACTGCTTCTATATCTAGGTCCGTGACGAGGTCTTCTCTGGTTCCTAATATTTTTCCTGAGTTGGATGTTTTGAGGGAGCACTAAAAATAAATTGATTATATTAATAAATTTTTTTAAAATAGAAAATCGCTAAATCAAGAGGAAAAAATTTATTATGTAAAACCACTTGCTTTTATCAACTATAGTTCATTACTACGAACGTTAAGAACATTTTATTGAAAAACGAAAGGTCAATTCATGTTAAGATTCCTAACCGCCCAGATTTTATAACAATATTATTATAAATAAAATGTGCTTCAAAATTAATAAAAGATTATTTCCAAACTCTACAAAAAAATCCAAAGTTCGCCTTGGTAAGATTTTTAAAAAAATTTAAATTAATTAAAATTAGAGATCCGGCACAGGCCCGAGTTTCCCTTATTTAGACCCAGTCTGTTCTTTTAATATAGCTGGATTTTCTTTAAAAAAATATAATAACGTATTCAAAAACATATTCTACGATAGAATATAATCCAAAGAAGAAAAACTGTTAAAAATTTAAGGCGAAGTTAATATAGAAAAGTGGATATTTTTTATAAATTACATATTTTATTATGTATTCTGATGGATAAATTGCACTTGCTGATATGACATTATCTTTACATAAAATAAGATGATGTAAAATGTTTGCAAATAGTGCAAAGCTAATTTGAGCACGGGGGGGGGGGGAAGTGAGATAGGGGATTAGATATTGTGTAAATAAAAATTTATTAAGAACATATTGAAAACTTAAAAATAATTTCCAATAATTCGATTTGATCAAGAGGCTAATTTATTCGAATTCAATAATTTTTCCATTAATTACATATTTGTTTTAGAAACTAGTTATACTTATAATGATAAGACTTCTGGGACTAAAAATTAAAACAAAAAAATGCGGGAAAATTATAGTTCTATTTTGTAAATTCTTTAAGTATTGTGCGAACGGTTGCTTATTTGTCCGGTCAGATACATTGGGTCAATATGATCAAAATCAAATAAATGTTTTTTAAGACAATATTATATTTTTTATATATAATGGTAAAATTAATTTATATTTTTTAAATTTTTTGTCATTCAATAACTAATATTTCGCTCTCCGTGGCAGAGTCTAGTTCTAATTCATATATTTAATGTTATTATTTTCTTTAATATTTTTTAATCAATTTTCCTGTTGTCAAGATCTTCAATCGATTTCTGTTTTTGTAGGAATATGAACCCAAATCGACATATTTCTTTCTGAAGAAGTAGAAATAAGAAATGTTGGTAAAATGCCACTTCCACTAACTTGAGGCTGAATCTGATTGTTTCTTATGGAAGTTACTGCTTTCCATATAATCTTCTATTAAACTGACTGCTTTTACTCCTGAAAATTAAGGTATCACTAGAAATATTTTGATAATAACCCCTTTTTAAAATGCCTAATTCTTGTATTATATCTAGGGATGTAAATTTCCCGGAAAACCATAATTGAGGGAAATTTGGGGAAAACGGGAAATTTCCTTACAAGTCAATATTAATTTTTTTTCCTCATCTTTTATTTGATATCATTTCAATTATTTAATTTGTTATCTTCGTTTGAAACGATTCCAGATATCTAAAATCATTGGTCATTATTTGTCTCGTAACATCTAAATCTAGGTATCTAGAAAATCGGTATATAACATCTAATCCTTTATCAACTTCATTGTCTTTAAATAAAATCCGCAATATCTTGGGTCAAGTATATGAGCAGAATAATATATGTCCCGGCAACCAAAAAAATTTTGGTTTTTTTTATATATTATAAGATCTCTATGATTTTATTCCGCATAGGAGATTTCTCTGATATGAATAAATGCTATAAAACGTTAAATAAGTTTGAATTGTTCGCCTCACTTCCTCCATTTATGTAGAAATGACTTTATATTGTACAGATGGGCAAGATCATTTAAAAAAACTTCATTATCAAGAAGATAAAGTTTCTTATCTCTATTTAAAATATGGAGTATAGCCGAAAACTATTTTTATTTTTTTAACAGACTGTTAATTATCAAAACCATACAGTCCAAAGAGTTGGGTGAGCTAGGCAACTTTAAGGAAACAATCCTATTTTTATCTTTAAGTAGTTGTATTTCCTTAAATGTAAAAGAATGTTGAATTTTAGACATATTATAATAATTTAAGCTTTTGCTACTAAAATTTAAATTGGAAATATTTTATTTGGTAGATCCTTTTAAAAGCAAATGAAGTCCATGAGATCTTGACCCAATGCATTCGATAACTAAGTATTTATTTATCACAGGTAGTGTTGTTAAACGGCTCGTTTTGAGCCGATTTTTAAAAACGGCTAATTCAATATTTTAGCCAGGAAAATATTTTCAAGGCTTCGAGATTTCGCTAATAGATGCCCAAACCTTTGTTCCTTCTGTAAACAAAATCTTCAGGTTTGCGTAATACTATTCTGGACGAAATATTGAGTTAGCCGTTTTTAAAAATCGGCTCAAAACGAGCCGTTTAACAACACTACTCACAGGTGTCCAAGGCTTTCTTCATTACCTGCATTATTTATTAGGTTAATTTTTGTTTCTTATTTCTACAATTACATTAATAAATTCACTAGATATAGATATCCTCCAGTATGCATTTGGTCCCTGTTTCAATTAATTTATAGAAAATGGGACATGGGTTTGCTATAATAAAATTTATAATATATACTACTCTTATATTTATTTGTCCACCCAACAAGAGTCAAATTTTTAATCTTTTAGTTACTATATTTTTAATCCTTTCATATTCACTCTTTAACTTTTTACTGAGTTAACATCGTGAGAGCATTTTAAATGCTATTTTTAAAGATTGAAATAATTTATTCCAAATACAAGCTGCATTTTAAAATAAACAATTTAACATAAAAATGGTGTTGTAAAATTATCAATATATTTCATTATTATTTCAGAAATTTATATTATTATTATTATTAGTTGAATTAAAATTAGAAGAGGAAGCTGACCTACCCTATCCTTTTAACCTTTTCCTTATATCAATTATTATTAAAAAAATTTAATATATTTCAGCCAATAAAAAAATTTCCTTTCGATGAACATTTCTAGGGTTGAGCTATTATTATTTTATCTAAAATGAACGTACATACAAAAAAAAGCCCAATTATGATATATGAACCAAGAGAAAAAAATATTTTTTTAAAATATAATAAATATTCTGATTCTTTGATCAAAAAAACATAAAATAAAAATTGGGGAAACTATGAAGAAAATTTCGACCCACGAAATTTCTTATCCCTATGTTAGATCCCTAGTTATATCTGCGAGATATCAGCTGTAAGTTTAAAATATTTCGACTTATTAGAGGAAATAAGTTAAGATTCAAAGTCTTTAGTATTAAATAATTTGAAGCTCTAAAGCAACTTCATCTCGCCAAGGAACATATAAAAGAAGATGTTCTCGATAACATTTGTAATTCTTGTTGTAGTAGATTAAATAGGAAAAGTTAAATTAAACCTTTTCTTCGACAACGCAAATAGCCAATCAATAAATACATTATAATGGGGAAGGGGCTAAATATATTTAGGAAGGAAGTAGATGAGAAAATTTTTATAATTGGAAGAATAAAAGGTATGTAGAGATTACAATCTTGATTAATACTCCACACAAACGAAAAAGTAAACGACAATTACATATATGTATGCAAGATTCTATATTGAGTAGTAATTGAAAATTTTATAAACAAGTTTATCAACGATCTCTAATTTGATTGATGCGCGCTATCTCAACCTTATGGTCTAACTTGATTTCCCACATGACATTACTGATCCCACCAATGACAGTCCCCTCATGCCAATCTTGATTTGTGCCCACTTTCACAAAAACAGAGTTACCTCTAGTTAATTCTCTTCAATTAATTCTTTTAAAATCTGGCCTAACATCACAGTCATTATTTTCTAACAAACTCCATTTCCATCTCAATTTCATACCCAATAATCTAGATGCAGGTGAAAGTTTTGTTACCGAATGCCCCACATTGTAATAATTTAATAAAACATCTGCTAACATAAGCTCATCCCATCCCCTTAATTTATAAATCATATTTTTTGATGTGCGTACAGCTCTTTCCGCCATTCCATTAGAGGACGGGTGATATGGTAATATGAATAATACCCTCATTTTGCAAAAAAATTTTATATAATAAGACCTAAATGATGGTCCATTATCTGATACCAATTCTAGAAGATAACCAAATCTAAAAAAAACTTTATTTAATTCAATTATAGTGGTTATGTTTTTAACCTTGTTAATTTCGAGCCATCGAGAGTACCCATTAATAATTAACAATCCGTAAAAATTCTTAATAGGTCCAAAAAAATAAGTGTAAATTTGATACCAGGGTTTATCTGGCAGCACCCAGATTTTGTCTATCTCTTGGTAATGTAAAATATCTTTTCATAGTATCATCCTAAAAATCCCAATATGTCCTTCATGAAACTCAGAGCATATTTTTCCTTAGTTTTTGAGGAATAATAATCTGTCTTCCTTTAAGCATACAATCATTTTTTTATTTTCAAAACATTTTGTGTCTTATATTCTTTTATTTGTGAATAATTGCCATCTTTATTCAAAAAATATTATTTAACTTTGATGAGTTCTGAGTCTACCAATGTAGCTCTTTCATTTAAATCACTAATAATTTTTGATCATTATTAACATAATCCACATTAAAAAAACAAATAATATCTTCATTACCTTCCAATAATTAATATTAAAATCATATCCAGCTAAACACAAAGCCCATTTTTGTAACCTCAGTGACATATTATAAAGTTTCACAGGATATGCCCCAAATAAATTAACAAGCGGTTTATGAACTAAATATTCTCTCCATTTTTTAACTGCCAAAAAAATAGCGAATCCTTCTTTCTCAATAATAAAAATTTTTTCAGAACCTGAACATACTTTGGACATGAATTTAATAGGCCTCTCATGACCATCTTCTTCAAAATGGAATATTACTGCTCCCATACCCTTATTCGAAGCATCAGTCGAAATAAACAACTTCCTACCTCTATCATAATGTGCTAAAATACACAATCTTCTTCTAATCTCACAAAAGCGTTCCCCCAATAAAAATGTTTCCCCTTCTTAAGTAGATCACATAACTTATATACCAATTTCGAAAAACCTCTAATAATAATTCATGAGCCTCAACCGTGGCTTTTTGCGTTCTCGAAGAAAAGGTTTAATTTAATTTTTTGCAATTTTAATCTACTACAACAAGAATTACAATATTATCGAGAACATATTCTTTAATATGTCCCTTGGTGAGATGAAGTTGCTTTAGAAGCTTAAATTTTTTTTTCAGTATACACTTTAAATTTACTATTACTAACACAAATAAAGCTAAATATTTTAAACTCACATCTATCTCACAGATAATAACTGAGGTTAATGAAATCTGAGGTGTTGTTAAACGGCTAACTCAATATTTTAGCCAAAAAATATTGCCTAAGCCTCGAGATTTCGATAATATATGTCTAATCCTTTGTTCCTTCTATGAGCAAAATCTTCAGGCTTGCGTAATATTTTTCTGGATAAAATATTGAGTTAGTCGTTTTTAAAAATCGACTCAAAACGAGCCGTTTAACAACACTAATTTCGACAATACGATACTATACTGGATATAAATAATAATATAAATGATAACATTAGCTAGTATAGATGATATAGATGTAAATATAGATAATAGTATAGGGATACCCCCATTTTAGAAAAAACCTCTCCCACCGCTATAACTCAAAAAAACATCTTCCCCATCATACTACCTGAAAATTTGTATACAGAATTAATATATTCCCTAAATCCTGAGCAAAAAATTTATCTAATGAACGTCATGTCTTTATTTGCCTCTAGTGCTCAGTTGCCCTTCTATCATTTTGTTAGTGGTAGTGCAGGAGTAGGTAAAAGCGTTTTAATAATAGTTTTGTACCAATCACTGAAACGAAGATTTAGATTGATATATGAACTAAGTGACTTTTTGATATATTAGTTTGTGCACCAACTGGTAAAGCAGCTTACGCAATAGGAAGAATAACCCTCTATTCAGCTTTTTGTCTACCTATAACATAAATCCTTCAAGAAACCAGTATACTATCCAGTGCCAACCACTTTGAATTTTTATCATGCCTAATTATTTCAGTCTTACATATTCGTGTAATATATAGTAGCCCTACAAGATCTTTAAGTACGTTAATACAATTTCTTGAAAATCAGAATCATATTAAATAACTCCATGATTATCTGGCTGTTCTTGTGCTAAGTGTTAAATAAAATAGATCATCGAATAAATATATAACAAATTGTATCTAATTTTTTTAACCTTGAATATGGCTCCTATTGAAATGAAGATTGATAAATTTGTAAAATTTTTTAGGAACATATATGTTTTATAAAATGTGATAACGTTTGTCCCGCATAGTACCGCTTTTTAACAATTTAATATTTAAAAATCCCGCAAACTGACTTATAGAATATGGCAGGTCTAATCAAGGTATACATATAAATGAATATTAATTCATAATATTTAAAAAGCTTATGTATTTCCTAATCATGAGTCATGATACAAGCGTTTGAGGAAAAAATTAAGGAACTATTAAAGATCAGCTTAATAAAATTAAGCTGGGCAAACCATCAGGATTTGGAGGATCCAAAGCACCTAATAAATATCTAGAATATATTAAATTTGCTCACTCAATAATAGATGTCAATTTTTCCTCACATTTAAGTCTCTTAGATATTTTTACTATATTTGGAATATAGACAACAACAGCATTAAAACTATCTGTTGAACTATCCATGACTGTTGGGTCCATAAATTTAACATATTCTTCCAGATATTTATAAGGTGTTTTGGACCCTCCAGAACCTTATAGTTTGCCCACCTTAATTTTATTAAGATATGTCATGATTAGGAAACTATAACTAAACTTAAAAAAGCAATGGAAATCCTTTAAATGGTATGATTTGATGGATAGAAATTATAATCGATTACAGTCATGAAATCACAACGACTGTAAAATCATGTTACAGTGAATAATAACCAACATAATAACGTTTTTCTGCATTGCACCGGTTTGATCTCTGGCACCTGGAGCAACCCTTGGTTACTAAGAGAATCCTTATAATAAACCTTATTTTTTAAGAAGAATATTAACCTGTAAATTATGCAACATTCCGTCAGATTCCTCCTCTATGTTGACCACCACTGCTGGAGACCCTGTGCAAGAGGTGGCGTCCATGGATTCTAAAACTAAGGATAGATCCTCATTTTCAAAAAAATTTGAAGGACATTCAGCATCATTATTTATATTTAAATTAGAATTTAGGTTTAGATTGTGAATGAGATTAAGATTCGAAGAATTATCACTTTGGACTGAGCCGGTTTGGATGTTGGAAGAAGGAGTGTAATGACTGGAAGATACTAGCATATAGTTTAATTTGTAAAATAAAATATAAATTGAATATAATAGAAATGCAATTTTAATACTGCCATAACTCACTTTGATTCATATTATGTAAAAAAAAGAAATTTCTAATTATTTTTATATTGACTTTACATATTAGACATTACTTTATATTAAAATAAAGTTTAACTTACATACACTAACCTTTGCTTAGCAAAGCTTATTTTTGGAGAAAAACTAGTGCACCTTCGGCTATAAATTTGAAAATGTTATTAAAGTCAGGTAAAAAATTATTAAATTTTCAAGAAAAATAAATATTACATTGTGTTTTTTATATATATTTTTGCGGTGCAAATATATATTTATATTTTTTCAAATACGTGGTATATTTTCTCAGTGGAAATTATTTTTAAATTAAATCATGTTTTCATTTAAATTTCTTTGATTTAAATTTGTAAAAATTTTATATAATAAAAAAATTCTTTTAAAAATAATGGGTTATATAAATTATTTACTTTCAATCTAACTATGACTAGTTACTTTTGAAATAATTTAAATAAAGACAATAGTTACCTTTTTAAAAATGTAACCAACAATGGTAACTAGTTACTTTACAAAAGTAACTTTTAACAACACTACCAAATAGCATGTCTATTTTTTTAAGGTTCTAAGTATAAAAAATCTAAATTCACCATAATTATTCCCATTAAGATTGTCGGGGCATTTTTTGGAAGAATCAAATATCAATACATTATTGTTGACGTCGACCAAACTTTGTTGAAAGCCTATATTATTTTGATTCATATCAGTTTGAGAAGGCATGGAAGAAAAAGAGGAGCGATGGTTTTCCGTGATATATTTTTCCTGTTTTAAATAATTTATTTCGAGATTTTTATCACTTAAAAATATTTTATCAAAAAACGTGAGGGAACAGGTATAAAATTCTTCACTTATGAAAAGGAATATCAATAAGGATCTCTTATTAGGCCAAGAGAACTTAAAATAATATCCAACATTATTTAATTTCCAAAATAATTATGGTTATGATCAACTTATGCATCAAAAGAATGGTTTTCAAATTAACATAGAATCGTGTATTTGGTAGGGTCAATGAAATAAAATGTTTCTTTAAAAAAAAAATTTTATAGGGGCGAGCATTAATAATATAAAGTTGTAAAAAAAGGAAAATATAAAGTATTACATGTTACATTCTTCAAAAAAAAATTAATCTTTAAAATCAGTTTGAATTGATATTAAACAGTTATTCTTTATAAAATATATTTCGTTCTTCGTCATTTTTCTGTTTTCACAGTGTAAAAAAAAGGTGAGAAATATTTCTTTTAATAAATAACTTAGCTACAATCTTATAAATTTTGAGGATATAATATAAAAACCAGCTGCCCTTCCCTCTCTTTCCTTCGATCCTACTTTCCTAATTGAATATTTAGTTGAACTTTTTTTTTACAAAATATTGCGATTTAATTCCATTTTCAAAAATATTACCCACCAAACCTTAAAAGTATTCGGGTTTCTAATGGTGGGTATATGATTAAAAAGACTATTCAAGTGGTCGTTTAATCGGACGTTGTCAATATTTAAGGGTTGATTTAGTTGTTTTTTAAAACATTGTCGGATGAGCGTGTTCGAGTTATTGAGTTGTGAAACGATGCTGTAATCTTGAATAGGTGTTTCGTTTTTGTTCTTGGCTAAATAAAAATTATATAATTCAATACTAGTTTTATAAAATAAAATTAAAAACGTAAACAAAATGCTATAATTATGATTAGACAGTATAGTTATAGGTAAGTTTTACCAATTCATTAATAAATTCAACTTATATCATAAATTAAAACCTGGGTCCTAAGACTCTAATTATTAAAAAGTTTTAAATTAACCTATCCGGGGGTCAAACCAGGAAGTTGATTTGCTAACGTGATCGATAAAATATATTTCTCCTTCGGGAGTCAAGGCTTGTTCCCAGCCCTGAGGCAACGGTCCTAATGTATTGATATCTTCGGACCTTTTTTGAGTCAATAGATTACTCCCTACAATACCACCGCAATTATTAGATTTATGATTATTGTTAAGGTTTCTATTTGCCATGTCATGATTGGTATTTTGGTGGGGCAAAGAAGAATTTTGGTCAATTTTTTGCAAAAATTCTCCAAACTTTTGGGTGTGATTTAAAGACAAGTTTGGATGAAAGCTAGAGTTGTGAGCGTAATACGAATCATTTTTGGGGTGATATTTGTCTATTTTGCAAAATTTTATAATGATAATAAACAAATTTATTTAATATACTCTAGAGATTAAGATGACCAGAGCTGATAAAGGACCTGTAAAAAATTGTGAATAAAATAATCATAAATTGGTTAGGATTTGGGGCTTTGGACCTGAAAATTATCTGATAAATCAATAAAATAGCAAAATTATCATGCTCCATTAATAAAGCCTAGGAATTTGTTGAATAGTATGGTCTTTCGTTTTTATTCAAATAGTATCGGGTAAATTGGTAAAATTACTTCTTGGAATTAGAAACCGTTTATAAAACGCAAACTGATTTGATTTTTTCAATACTTTTTTATTCATTCCTTTTGCAATCTAGTCTACTGCCAGCCGACAAAAATTTGTTCAGATAAAGAATAAGAATAATGGCGAAGGGGGGGGGGGGAGGGGTGCACTAAAAATCCCTTCCATTTTTAACTATATGTTAATTAAAGCGAATATTAAATAAATTTTAATAAAATAACTTGTCTTTCAAAATGGAATAATTATAAAAAGGCAGGCGATAATATAATTATCAAAAACTAGGGGTGTAACGATCCCACTTTTTGGAGGCCTATATAATAAATTGATATTAGCCGATTACCTTTCCGATATCATATCTGATTTTGTATTCTGTAAACATACTAATCGTTTTAATTTTTAATGTATACATCTAGTGTTGCAAAATCACTTCATTTGAGCCAATTTATAAAAAAGGCTAACTCAGTATTTTATCCAGAAAAATATTACGCAAGCCTGAAGATTTTGCCTATAGATGGCACAAAGTTTTACACTGTATGCGAAATCTCGAGGCTTAAGCATATTTTTCTGGCTAAAATATTAAGTTACCTAGCAGTTTTTAAAAATAGGCTCAAATGGAGCCATTTCGCATCACTATATACATCTACTCATCTCATATACATTTTAATAGCATAACATCTATAATTTAATTATACCATAATATAAGTCATTTAAATATATATAATGATCAGTTATGTTTATTCATGAGTCTAAAAGTATATAAATATATTTTGATAAATCACTTATTTATATAATAAAATTAATCCATTTACATAATAAGTAATAAACAAATATAAGATAAATTTTTCAGAGACCTGCAGGCACGGCCCTAAGCCCGTTTTAATTTTTAAAATATACCCGGGCCGGCCGTATAGTTTAAAACCAAATATTTTAAATCGTCATTAGCTATAAAAATTAAAAATAAATATTATATATTTTTTAAAAATCCAGGCCGGGCCTAAAAATATAAAACCCGGGCCAAGGCCGGAAAAAAATAAAAAAAATCCGGGTCGTGTAAATGGTACCTTGCTGGTCTCTAATTTTTTAAAAAAATTAAGAAGCCATTTTAACGGATCGGATAGGTAAATTTTATAATATATAACGATACCTGATATTTTAAATAAGGTGAAATATAGGCTCTATCCGATATAAAATATCGGTACATCCCTAACAAAAACCTACTTTTTTTAAAAAATTTTGAATCGACGATAATAGGCAGCCAATTTAAACAAGGAATGCGTTATGTTTTTTTTTGAAAAGTAGGGCAAAACGCAAGGGCTCAATTTGTTTCATTTCGATTCTTAAGCCTGCCACTATTATAATCACTGAAATTGTCTTAATTTATTTTTCCATCATTTATTAACAAAACTAACCCTGCATTTACAGTTACCGAAATACACTGTTTTCCTTTTTTTATAAATTTAAAAATACTTTTAAGTGTTTCCCCGGGTATATGGTGTGGCGATTGATTATTGTTATGATTCCAAACTGAATTGATGGTAGGATTGAGAGATCCCGCCCAGGATGGATTCCTTTGTCTACCGCCATTACAGTTATTCTGATTATTGTCAAAACTATTGACGGGTGATGACTCGTAATGCGACTGCTGCGACATGGGATCATTGAACGGCGAATATTCTCGATTTTTACTGGCGTTAGCGTCATTGTTATTTTGATGGCAACTCATAAATTTAGCTGTGGGATGCCAAGACAATTTACGGTTAGGATTGGGATTTGAAATAGCGCAATCGCTAGTATATCATATAAATAAAATGGGTAGTTATAGTGTTGTAATAATTAGGGCGAGAATGCATTTTTAAAAAATCAAAAACAAATTACTAAACCAAATCGAATTTATGGTATTGTTATAATTTTTTAAATTTATGATTAAGTAAAATCTCGTTTGAACCAGTAATAAAAATATTCAAATAAGCCTTTAAAGTTTCGCCCTAAATTTTGAGCCAAAATCTTTCAAGATCAAAAAAAATGAAATTTTTTTAATGATCAAAAAATTTTTTACAAAAATTTGTAAATTTATTATGAATAATTTTGCATGCACAAAAATCACAAAATATTTACTTATAAAAGATATTTTACAAAAAATATTTGTAATTATAAGTCCAATTTGATCAAAAATCCTTGTTCTAGCATTCTGAGATCAAATTTTTAATTTTGAGAAAATATTAAACTCTGGTTTCAATATTAATAAATAATTGATTCAGGAATAAAAAATATTATCAAAAGTTATTTTTTGAGAAAATCAAAATAAAAAGTTAACATTAACAAAACCCATCCCTTTTTTATTCCTTCTCCCAGCCCTATAATGTTAGTTAATGGATCAGGATAACAAGTTTTATATAATTAACAAAAAAGCAAATCCTTCGTTGTTTATATCAACTATGCGAATAATAAATACTTTGGGTTATTGTACGTAGTACAGAAATATATATTTTTATTAATTCCTTTTAATCTTTGATCATTTATTTGTGCAATTAGTTTTTATCTATAATTTAATAAATCTTAAGAAAATATAGATTTTTTTAATCAATTGGTCATTGTCACATATTTATCATGCATTCATTAATGATTCGTTGTTATATCTTATATATTTAAACAATTGGAGTAGTAAGAAAATAATAAATATATTCTTAGACATCCATAACCAACTTATTAATTAATTCATTAATAAGTACAGAGAAATTTCTCATCTCAAAAAATTTATTATAGACACAGTAATATTCTCGATTTTAACATTTTACATTCATTAATCTTAAAACTTTGTGAGCGGATTAATAAATGGATAAAACTTTTAATTTTAAAGTTTATGACAATGCAATCCATTTATAAAATTAAAACTTCTCAAATTCAATAAGAACTGGGGATAAAATGAGCACATAAAATAAGCCGTATTCTTGTTCTTATTGCATGAGTGTTAATTAATCCCATCAAGTAGAGAGAAGATTATGGTAACATAAGAAAAAAAAGGCACTATAAAAATTCATAAAAATTACCTGAGTTTGAGGTCTTTCTTTCATAGTTTTAAGCCTCGACAATAATAATATTGAACTTAAACCTTTAAGGGTAAAAAATTAAGAATACATTGTTCATTTTATTCAAGATACATAAAAGAAATTGTTTTGGTTTAACCAAAAGTCATCTTTGGTTTAAAATATAACGGTGTCCTAGAGATTTGGACATTAGCATTAAACCGTGAAATCACTCTAATTGAAGTAGTCCTATATTGCAAGCCAAAATAAGATCAGTTTATTTTCAAATGGATAAGATAATTTTATATTTATGACTTGGCTGATCAAATATTTTTTTACTGCCCCCCCCCATCATTATTTCAAATTTTATAAAGCATAAACAGTTTGATAGGTAGTCATTTCTAAATAGTATGAAACCTTCTCAGAACCTCCCCGATTTTAATCCAAGTGGCATAGGTCAAACATTCTATCAATTATACTCGGGTCGAACGTTAATTTTAAACTTGTAATTCAAGCCAGATTCTGATAAAAAATGTGAAATCTGCCCTCGGCAAAATTTTAAAATATTTTGTTTCCCTAATGCCTTTTTCTCAACCGCTTAGGATTTCCTTTTTTAGAAAAATCGCACATGGATTTCCAATTGGATTCGGATATTTTTAATCAGAGTGCTGATCTTTGAAAAATAGGTGGGACAAAAAATTTATAAATTTTTATCGAATCGAACCAGACCTGAAAAAATAAGTCCGATGTAGGCCGTTATTTATTCTAAAATTGTTATTATCACTTCAAATTTTATATACCGTAATTATAAGAGGTCTAATAACATTATGAACCAATAGAATTTGAGTATTCAAAGCTAAACGCATCGATCCTAGACCATGGTCAGAAGATTTACTGACCAAAAAGAAAATACAAATATTACTAAAACCAATTATGATCCATATTCTCAAACCTCGAATCAGGGGCGTAGCATCACTTCATATTATAACGACAGGGTTTACAGGTCAAAATTTTCAAATTGCGGGAGAAATTTAGTATTTTGTGGGAGAAATATGAAAATTGAGATAGAAATATAAAAATTTTTGCCGGCCAATTGACTTAATTATCCGTCTATTATTTTTTATAATTTATAAATGCAAAGTAAGTAAATATTTTTCAAAATAAAATAACATCTTGATTTATTAAAATATATTAATTTATAAAAAAAAACCAACGATCTTTTTTAAATATAAAAGAATGTAAACAAAGATAAAATTTTATAAAAGTCCGCAATTGGAAATCTACCGTGTGTGTGTATAACATTATAGGGATAGGCGCTTAATTATCACGTATCAAGTTTAAATATAATAAGATAATATTGTACTCATTTCAATGATAATTATTTTATTTATTATAGTTCAATCACATTATTATAATCAGTGCAGGGGAGTGTATCTACATTCATTGCAAAACAAAAATATTCTCCATAAATAAGAAATAATACAGATGCAACTACAATTGCGGCAATTGTAATCACTTATCTTGTATCAACATTCACAGAGATACTTATCATTACAATGTAGATAGAATCTATCCCCATAATATTTAACGAAAGATAAATGAAAACTTTACTTGTGAGCAAGGATATCATCAATGTTTTAGAACCTGAATCCAGGAGGTTAATTCTTAACGATTTGAAAGATGAGCAACATATGCAATTCTAACAGATGCATCTAATAAGGGAAATATTAAAATATTTTCCTTGATCCTCCGCTAGCCATCCATATAATAGTAAATATAGCAGACTTGGGATTATCAATAAATTGCATGTCAGCTTTCTGATCTGATAATGCCTCAGTGAATTTGGGAAAAAAAATGTTGGTTGCGATTTGTTTCTAATACCCGCCATCGATAGAATTATAAAATTTTATAAACCTTTAAAAAAATATTTCTTAAATATAGATTATAAAAGCTGTCCTAACATTTTTCAAATGAATGGCAGAGGTATATTTAGGAATGATTTCACATGTACTACATGCTGTTAATGTCAAGTTGCAATCAGAAGAATATTAACAAAGATTCATAAAATTATGCTGCAGATGTGTTCATCTTTACATTTAAAAATTGAGAATAAATTTTATGACGCCATTCCTAAAACTATATTAAAATGGTCAAATATTTTAAAAATACCGATAGATATTGTCTTGTTTGAGGAGTTTGCTCTCTATTTTTGATTTACAATGTAAAAAATATATTTATTTTATGCGTATGTATAAATAAGATTTTATAAAATATAAAAAAAATACGGAAAATTAAATAGTTAAAATGTTAATTAAATTTTATTTGAGATTTAAATAATGGAACTAAACGTTTACCTTTGTTATTGAGATATTTATAAAATTCCTGGCATGACATATACAGGGTTTCCCATTCAAAAAAGGAAAAGTCCCAATCAAAAAAGGAAAAGTCCCAATCAAAAAAGGAAAAGTCCCAATCAAAAAAGGAAAAGGTTCAATCAAAAAAGGAAAAGTGTCAAACAAAAAAGGAAAATGTTCAATCAAAAAAGGAAAAGGTACGATCAAAAAAGGAAAATTGTCAATCAAAAAAGGAAAAGTCCCAAAGGTTAAGGAAAAGGTCCAATCATAAAAGGAAAAGTGTCAAACAAAAAAGGAAAAGGTTCAATCAAAAAAGGAAAAGTGTCGATCGAAAAGGGAAAATTCCCAAAAGAAAAGGAAAAGGGTCAATCAAAAAAGGAAAATTCCCATTCAAAAAAGGAAAATCGTAATTTTTTTAAAAAAATATATAAACTTTTCAATTTTTCTTAAATTTATTTATTTTTGTCATTCCTTCTTATTTTATTTCTAACTTTTTGCGATTTCTTTATTTTATTTGTATCTTTTCTCACTATATCTTTTCTCAATTTTTTTCTTCTCATTTTTGTGGTTTGACTGAAAGTCTTCATTCTTGGTCTGGATGGGTATGACTTGGTCTGAGGGTGGGGGGGGGGGGGGGGTGTAAAAATAAATTTTTGTTTCATACTATATTAAATATATATCGTAATTGTAATTAAATAATTTCATATGTAAAAAATTCTATATTAAATATATATCGTAATTGTAATTAAATAATTTCATATGTAAAAAATTATAATAAAAAAGTTGTCTGCCAAAAATTTAGTGAAAATTAAATATACTTAAAAGAATTATCAAAAATGAGAAGAAAAAAAATTGAGAAAAGATACAAATAAAATAAAAAAATCGCAAAAGGTTAGAAATAAAATAAGAAGGAATGACAAAAATAAATAAATTTAAGAAAAATTGAAAAGTTTATATATTTTTTTGACCCTTTTCCTTTTCTTTTGGGAATTTTCCTTTTTCGATTGACACTTTTCCTTTTTTGATTGGACCTTTTCCTTTTTTGTTTGACACTTTTCCTTTTTTGATTGAACCTTTTCCTTTTTTGTTTGACACTTTTCCTTTTTTGATTGGACTTTTTCCTTAACCTTTGGGACTTTTCCTTTTTTGATTGACAATTTTCCTTTTTTGATCGGACCTTTACCTTTTTTGATTGAACTTTTTCCTTTTTTGTTTGACACTTTTCCTTTTTTGATCGAACCTTTTCCTTTTTTGATTGGGACTTTTCCTTTTTTGGATGGGAAACCCTGTAATATATTTGTTTAATCATTAGCTCGGCCTCTAATGTTGTTAAAGCAATCCGATTTCTCTCCTTTTTCCAGGCAGTCCTCATCAGACTAAAAATGCGCTCGGATGAGGCATTAGAATGAG